CACTGAAGATATACGACTGCAACGACATCTATTGACAAATTATGAAAATAATTTTTCGACTACCCAATATTTTACGCTTCAATCGTGATCGCACGCGTTTCTTTYTTTCGCTATAATTTTCGGTCCATACAATTTAAATTTAGTGAAATCACGTATCCCAAATAATATTTTATTTCTCAAAACCACTTGAAAATTTTCATATACCACTTTCTACGTTTTAGTCGACGATTTTGAAATTACATGCGATGAATGTTGAACGAGACATTACCGTATTAGACATAGCCTTTGAGTCGTGCCTTCTTTTGCTCTACTCTTTCACTGTTATACAATAGCACAAGAGGCGAATGTACTTATGTGTAAAGATGCAGTATTATGCAAAGACTGTAACATGTTTAACGTATTAAATATTTCAAGTGTTAAGATATTTGCGAAAATTAACTATTCCTTAAGTGATTTACGAAGTCAATAAAAAATGCAGAATGTCAATTTAAATACTCCTTTCTATTGTTATCAGGATTTATGATATCCTTGATAAAAACTAGTTTTTCATAAAATGCCATTTAAATTTTATGACGAAAACAGTCTCTGCTATTTGCATGAGTATACTCAAGACGCATTTTCTATTCATTAAAATGACATTTAACCAAGCCTTTCTTCAAAACATCAGGTGTTGAAGCCCGGTGGTATATCTGCGGACCTACACGACATCAAGGTGCGAGTCTTTGATACATRTGAAGGTACAAAACAGTGGCTCTCTCTAAAGTTCAAATGTTTGGTAACGTACAGTATTTTATGCACACTACTGAGTAGCGAAATGGGGGATTGACGGATGTTCATTTATTAGTCGAGGCAACCTAAAATTGCTTCCCAGCCAAAATGCCGAACTTGTTTCTGCAGAGTTGCCCGACCCCAACGAAGATAAAAGATTGTATGACACCATCACTGAAAGCATGAACCACGGGCCAAGAGGTGTACTACGAGTAAAACGTAGGGTCTCATGCATGAAAGATGGAAAATGCAGAAAAAAAACAAGAAAAACGATAACTTCGGCTGCATCGAAGATAATGTAACCTTCACAGGTGCATTTCTTTTTATTAACTAGGTGTTCAGTTTGTATGGAAGCTATATGCTATAGTAATCCGATCTGAACAAATTTATCGAAGATTATATTGTTACCTTTAGCAGTAATCCATGTCAAATTTCGTGAAGATACSAAGTCAAATGCGAAAGTTTTCCATACAAGCCGTTTATTCTGATCGTTTGGTTTGTATGACAGCTCTATGCTATAGTTAACCGATCTGAACAGTTTCTTGCGATATTACATTATTTCTATGAACAATAACTCATACCAAATTTCGTAAAGATATATCGTCAAATGAGGATGTTTCCCATGTAAGCATTTGATTCGGATCATTCAGTTTATATGGCAGCTATATGTTATAGTAATCCGATCTAAACAATTTCTGCGGACAATACATTGTTTCCT